GCCTCAACCTCTTCTTCCATGAACTTTCATCCCAAGCAAACACGAAACCCGCGTACTCCGACATCGTCGTTCGGAGCCGAAGCTCATGAAGTTCCAAGCGGACCAAACCCTATTTCCAACAGGTGAAAAAAAAGGGGGATTGGAGTTTGAAGATGAATATGGAGTACCATGAGAAAGGGGGAATTTAAAGTTGTAATTTGTTTTGGCGCATCTTTATGAGTACTGGCTTAGTTTGGCCATTAATATACCGCTTGTCCTTTATGTGATGAGTTTGTTTTAGCCTTGGTTTTTTTGAACTAGAAATGTATAGGAGGAAAGACACTATATTTTTCTACATGTTTCATATATAGATGATGATCATGGTGGTATGGTTTATATTTTTTTATGTTCGTTTTATGATATATGTTTAGAGTTTGTGATTGAATTAATCTTTTAAATCATCGTCAAATTTTATATGGTTGAGATATGAGATTAGTGTTCTTCTATGGTGATAAAAGGAAGGGGAAATCATGACGGACCAAGATGGAAGCTAGCAGTGAGAGGAGTGTCGGAAGAAGAAGATGTTTTGTTTTGTTTTTGGTCGGAATTAAGAAAATAAATAATTTGGTTAGTAATTTTGGACGTACCTTTTGTCTCGTGGAACACATAACCCGATAAAGTGGAGATGATGCTAAAGTCATGATTTGAAAATTATTACCGTCTCATTTTCTTGTTGTTGAATTCAATGTTTCCCAATCTCGTCCTTTCTCATGGTATTGGGTTCATATCATGTCTACTAGAGTCTAGAGGAACACCCACAAAAGCATGTGAAAAGAAACATAGATTTAATTACATTTCGTATCCTTAAATTATGACTTTTAAATAGATTCATAATTTTTTTAATATTATAATTTTATCTTTAAATTGTGACTCAATTTAAATTAGCTTTTAAATTTTTGAATGTGTCAATTTCATCCCCAACCTATTACCATCATTCTAATTAATCCATTAACTTTTAAAAGTTTCAATTTCATCTCAACATATTGATATATAATAATCACATCTCTGTTGGATTAAAATCCATAATTGTAGGCACATATTTATAATGCATATTGTTATTATAAAATATGACATAAATTAAGTGATAAATTATATTACAAAGTCATAAGGTATTAGAAGTGTCATGAAAATAAAAGTGTATATACTATTAAGGGTAAAGTATAGTAATGGTCACTGAACATTTTTGAAGCTTGCATTTAGGTCCCCCAACTTTTAAAACTTGCAATACAGTCCCCCAACATTTATTCCGTTTGCAATATGGTCCCCCAACTTAAATCACCGTTAGAAATTAGGGTAAATTATATAAAAGGTTATTGAACTTTTCAGACACTTGAATTTAGGTCCCCCAACTTTTAAAACTTGCAAAATAGTCCTCAATTTCATTCTAAACCCCAATTTTCAAAGTAATTCAATTTCATTCTAAACCCTAAATTCCAAAATAATTCAATTAAATTCAATTATGTCAGATTTATTATTATTTAATTTCATCTTATTTCATGTGATACGTATTTTTTATATAAATATAATAGTATAATTCATATTTGTTGAAGAAAATTTTTAATTAAAAAAAGTAGTTAGGATATAGAAGATGTTGAAAATAATGCGAATTTTAAATTTATAAAATGTTATTTTGACGTATAAATAAAAGTGTAAACTACTATGTTGACAACTTAACTATCTAGCCCTTTTTACTTTTGTCATCGATCTTTTAAATTTATCAATCATACAACATAATTATTTAACTGTTTCAACTAAGCCACTAGTCGTTACCAATTGATACAAATGATGAAGTGGCAGTTAAAAGGAATTGACATTATTATACATTCAGTCTTTATTATTTATATAATCAATTTGGTCCTAAATTAAATAGAATTTAATAAATTAATCATTTAATTAGGATCTGACATGTGTTAGCACATGATCATGACACGTGTCATTGGTGACACATGTCACCACCTAATTATTTATATATGTTATCAATTTGGTCCTAAATTAAATAAAATTTAATAAATTAATCATTTAACCAGGATCTGACATGTATTAACACATGATCATGATATATGTTATTGGTGACACATGTCACCACCTAATTAGAAGAAAATTAAGTTACAAAGAAGTAAAATTTGGGTCTTGGGCAAACTCAAACCTGAGTCACGCAAATGAAAGATACAGGGTGGAGCCACTAAGCTAACACCATCGTTTGTGTTAAGAGATATACAATAATACATATACTAATAGTATGACTAATGCCAGAAAAAAAAAGAATATAATGGAAAATGGAAATAATGAGATTTGAACTTCGGCAAAAAATTTGAAAGCAATAAATGATGGGAAAATATTATATTTTTTTACAATAAAAATATTATATTTGATAAATTGTTTGATAGATTTAATATATTTTTTAAATATTAGTTGATACAATATTTTAAAAGAATAAATTTAAGATTTATATTTTAAACTAAATTTAATAATTATATTTTTCATATTTATAATTCATGATTATATATATAATCTTAAGTTGAGTATTTCTAATATAATTAATAATTTTAATTTCTTATTAAAAATAAAATATTCAAAAAATATAAATGATTCATACATTAATATATGAATATATATTTTTTATTTATACATCTAAATATAAATATACATTTATATAAATATATTTTTATTCGTATATTGAAATATTTTGATTAAAATATAAACATATTTTAAATACTAGTTTATACAAGAAAAATAAAATATATAAAAAATATAAATGATTCATACATTTAAATATAAATTGAATCATTTATATTTTCTATACATCTATATTTAATAAGAAAATAAAATTATTGGGGGACTGTTTTGCAAGTTTTAAAAGTTGGGGACCTAAATTCAAGTGCCTGAAAAGTTCAATGACCGTTTATATAATTTACCCTAATTTTCTAACAGTGATTTAAGTTGGGGGACCATATTGCAAATGGAATAAATGTTAGGGGACTGTATTGCAAGTTTTAAAAGTTGGGGGACCTAAATGCAAGCTTCAAAAATGTTCAGTGACCATTACTATACTTTACCCTACTATTAAAGTTGTATTATAATTCGATGAGGGGCAGAGTCATAAGTATAGACAATAATTGATTATTAAATCAGCTATATAAATGGGTTATGGTCCCCAAGAAATAGACAATCTCGTATTTACTATTTATCCTCGTCAGAGAGTTTATACTTAAGGGAACTCTATCTTCTTCGAAGATCACCACCAAAGAAAGATTCAATGATTTCAACCTATCAATTAATTCATGTACGCTTCCCCATCTAATATTTATTTTATTCTTGATGATTTAGCATGATTAGATCCCAATTAATTTCATATTTATTATGATTTAGTTCTAACAATCTCTTGTTCATAAAACCGTTAGATGAAACTATATATGTTTGGGGGAAATTAGGTTATACTATGATCAAAACTAATTACATATTTTGATGAATTTTGTGATGAAATTGAAAGATTCAAAAGTTTGAGGATAATTTATTTACCCTTCTTTGAGAATAGAAAATATCTTTATTTAACTTTGGCAATCTTATAGTCCTCATGTATTAAATATATATGTTTCATTCATGTTGAATTTTATTAAGATTCCTTTAATATATGTCCATTTGTAAACAAAATTTAAGAACTTAATCTACACATTGAAATAAAATTTAGTTACATGAATTTTTTTATTATCTAAAACACTTTCCTTAAATAATAAAAAAGTGTATACATTTTTTATAACTACCAAAATAATAAAGATATTATATTCACTATAAAGTTTTGGGTAAACAATAAGTTTAGTACCTAAAATATTAGTTTTGGTCTATTTTAACACTTAACTTTTAAATTTTTTTCAAAATCACATATAATATAGTTTTGAAAAAATAAAAAATTTAGATACTAAAACGGACCAAAATTGACAGTAAATGCATAGTTTATCTTAAAATTTAAAAATTCTTCATAATTTGTATTATATTTTAAATCTCATCGTTACACATTTATTTTTCATTTGTATATACATTTAAGTATTTCAACTATTGGTTTAAAAGTATTTCAACTATTAGTTTAAAAGGTTCAACATATGTTACACTTTTTAATTATTTGAACAATTGCAAGAACTACCCGGAATTTTCGGGTAGCAAAATTCCGGTTCGTGACCCGACCTATATTAACCGAATACTTGTGAGTCGGGCACCTGTTAATCCAAAATTTTGTTGTTATATAGATGTAAAACGACGCCATTTTGGTGAATATTTTATTTTTCTAAAACTGCTTCGTTTTAATGTTGTTAATTATTTAACGACTGAGTGGCAAAAAAACCAAATGTATCAAGTTTAGTGAGAAAATTAAACGAATTTAAAATACAATGAGTGTAATAAGAAAGAGTAAAATTTAATAACGATTGGCGTAATTTATTCTTTTTAATATTTTAGGCAATTAGACTACATGTTAATTGAGTACAGTAAAATAATTTGATATGCTTGTTATTTGTTAAATAAAATTTTCAAATATAAAAGACTCCTAATTTTCCAATTGTATGAAGGGCTTTTTTGTTTTGGATCAGAGGAAAAACCACAGAAGTTAACGAATACTTTTCTTTGAAACATTATTTTATTGTTTTTATATATTTAAAAATACTGTAAAAAGTTAGTTTTAGTAAGTTTATATTAATTTTAGGGTGTATTAGTAATATAACTGACAGATAAACACCAAACTCAGTAAGAAATAATTGATATGAATATAAGCAAATATGTTGATAGCAAACAACTCACAAGAAAGAAAAAAGAAAAGCAAAATCACATTGGAAACCAGAAAATAATTTGATCGATTTCTTCTCTAAATCCGAATTCAAAAGTTGGACGACAAATTAATTTCACTTTTTTTCAAGTGAGGTTGTTCCAAATCCGAAATTTGCAAACGTACAAGCAGGATCCCAATAAATCACTTCCCCTATTTCTAATTCTGTGGCATAGCAGCAGCATTCAAGTGCCCATATTTCTGCATCACTTTCCTAGTTGCCAGGGCAGCTGCCTCACTAGCACGTAACGTCCCCGCAGCCATGATTGTGGCAAACTCACGGCTTATCTCTTCTTGGACCTTGGCTCGAGCATCCCCGAGAGGGTCCGAAATTTTTTCCTGTGCTCCTGTTGGTTTGGCAGATGGCATTGTCTCTTCCGACGTCTGTGCATCGGCATGGTTTGGTTGCTCTTCAGCCTTCACCTCATCACGCTTTGCGTTATCAGAGGAATTGATAACATTGACACCTGAGTGCTGAGATGGCTGAGCAGAAACAGATGGCCTGAATTGAGGAACTTGAGGAACAGCACCGGCCCTCAAAGTTGTCTCAAGATTTTGAATCATGGGCACTGTATAACGAATAAACAAAAAGAAAACATTAAAAATCTATCCACTTCATTGTAGAAATACAACGAATGAAGTAAAATTTGAACATGGATAATAATGGCTTACTTAAGAGTGCACCCATTGGGCTGCTCATAACTTCATTTGGGAGCTGCAATATATAGTCCGGAATGGTGGAACCGACTATAAACTGGGCAACCTCATTGCTGAAGTTGTTGCAATTGTGGGTGAGCAAACTGTAGGTCTCGGCTGTGTAACGGGGACTAATCTCCTGTAAATACATCTCAAACACATCTTTAGGCACATGAGTGACACCCAAATCAATCACTCTAATCGGTTTCCCATACGGGGCCGTCCCAGCAGGAATGTGCTGTATGCCTCCACCAAAATAGTATTCATTACCATAAACCACAACTCCAGTGTGCCTGTCAAGCAAACATAATAAACCAATACGATAATCAGTATAGCAAGCAATGCAACTGTAAACCACTACAAATTTGCATTTGGCCGATGGAAGTTGGCGATATTCGAGAAAGACAAGTGGAACGACTTCAGTTAAAAAAATGTTGGGCATCAATGAAAAGCTCCCACATTCAGAACAATGCTTACCATATTCCCTCAATAACTTTCCCTAATAAGGTCATGGAAAGCTGCCGAGCCAGTCCCTGACTCAAGTCGTACACATTCAAGGTGACTTTGTGACTCTCCTGTAACCAAACCAAAGTCATTACAGTTCACATGTATAATTGATTAAACCTTTATAACAAATGCTAATGGGCAAACAAAATATAACAGAGAAAAGGAAAGAATCAAACAGAAGTTAAAAGGCTTGCAAAGAATCTGATACCTCAGCCATTCCTGCAGTTCAATCTAAAAGGCTAAAAGCTCTTGATAGAAGAAGCAAAAATGCAACCTTCAAAGTTATTGGCGAAGATAACCTGTGCGAACAGAAATTCGAACAGATCAATAAGATAAATTTCAGGGAAGAATCTTGCCTACGATAATTTTTATTACAATCTTATAATGTTCAATGATAATAGAAATTATGCTCAAACACACCGCTAATCTGGGGGAAAATAACATTTCCCTTCCATGACAATAGCTTTTCTTAAGGCTTTCCGTACCCAAAAATAACTTGAATGCCCCTTTAGCCAGATATCAGAAAATTCATTCATGTTTCTCAAGGCGAATATCCGATATCTACGTTTGAATTTTTCAAATTTTTAGATCTAAATTGGCAAATTAGTAATCACACAAATGATAGCAGATCACGTCATAAATTAAAATCCCTAGCTTTACATCCAGATACTTCATTGACTTGAGAACACCAAATTACTCCCGATTACCCTAATTGCAGAACACGAAGAAACTAAAAACACCAAATTTTCAATTTGCGCAAACAATGTTGAATCGAACAGATCCAAAGATACATAATCAAAATTATATAAAATAGAAACTAAAACCACGAAGAAGCAGAGAAACGCACCTTAGAAAAAGAGTAGAACCGAAAAAGATAACTTCTTTCTTTTCAATTGCCCGTTGCGTGAAATTGATAACTGTACAAAATAAAGGAAAGAGCTCAATTTATAGTTGAGAGGTCGGGTTTTTCGGTGCCCAATATTCTATAAGACCGGGATTCCGAGTCTTCTATGACTTTCTAGAACTTACTATCCACTATAATTTTGACACGTGTTATTTAAACTTTTCGAGATGGTGGCGGCGGTCTTGCGTGGCAAAGAAAACGCGGTTTGGTCGTGAGGTGCCCGCGCAGCGCGCGAGCGAGCGAGTTTGCATCAGGATTTTTATATTAGTATACATTTTTGGAATTGGGCTTTAACTCCATTAAAGGGGTAAAATTAGCCCAATAAATCATGTAGATAAAAAATTAACTTATTAAATTATGTCTAAAATTAATTTAAGATTTACGATAAATATTACAATACATGATAAACTCGTCATATTCACTTGACGAGTTTTTCAAAATAATATTTTATTCAAACTTGTTATGTTGAAGTAACGAGTTCTAATAAAATATTATCTTTTATTAGATTTTGTCACATCAAAGTGATAAATTTCAATAAAAAAATATCTTTTATTAAAATTTGTCTACATGATAAGTTCCCATTGATTATAACAAATGTTGTAGTTTCTAAAATAAAATATCTAATATTTTATTGAGATAAATAATTTATAATTGCCCCATGTAATGTGGACAAACCCATGCAATTGTGAACATCTTTTCGGCCTTCCATAGTGAGTTAGTGACGGTGGTTGCTGCGTATATAATCCTAAACCAGTATAATTAATGAATTATATATAAATGTATTAAAATAAATCTCGTGAAATTTTAAATGGCTCAAAAATTCATTTAAAAGCCCCAAGTATTTAATTAAAAATATTTATAAAAAAAAACTAATAGAACCGTTAGAAACGAGGCATTTTTCTCGAAAAATTACCGATGATCGGTATATTTATCGATCTAACACCGGTCATATTATATTTCTCGATCTAACACCCGTAGCAGTAAAGCGCGCTCCCTGCCCCGCGCTATATGTTGATTTAGCGTCACGTGGGGTATAGCGCCCCCTGTACCGTTCTATACGCTAACATGGCTTACACGTGGGTATAGCGCGACCCCTGATCCGTGCTATAACTGTTTATCTGACACGTGAGGTATAGCGCGGTACAGAGAGCGCGCTATACCTTTAATTACCCCCCAATCCTCCTTATAAATACTCCCATCTTCTATTACTTTCATCACACCATATTCTCCCAAATTCTCTCTCTATTTAAGATATATTTTATAATATTTTTAATATTATGTATTTAATTTATTTAAGCATTTTACTTTATTTAATATTTTACTAATATAATTTTTTTGCAGATATATAATGGAATACGGTCTACTTCGCTTGGATGGAAATTATATATCTTGACACTTTGCTAATACAGTAACATTTTAACGTTTTAATTTAATTTAAATTATTTGTAATAATTTGTTGATTTATTTAATGTATGATTATTAGATTAAGAATTAATTTGTGTAATTATTTAATTTTAGGAGAAGGACCGTGTATTAGTTCCTTTTATTATGAATCTTAAGTTAATGATACCTAGCCGTGTCTTGCCGTATTTAGTAGAGATTGGGTTTGGTTACATAAGTAGATATCAGGGTCACTGTAAGATAAAAACAGCCCTTATTTATGCCTTAGTAGAGCGGTGGAGGTCGGAGACCCATATATTCCATCTTCCGTGAGGAGAGTGCACGATTACACTTGAGGATGTTGCTATGCACCTAGGGCTTCCGGTGGATGGAGATGTGATATCAGGGATCTCGCAGGGTTCCTGGACTACTTTGTGCCAGGATAATCTAGAACGTGTCCCGGAAAGTTTTATCGGAGGTAGGATATCGTTAAATTTGTTAGATGCCAATTTTCGGGAGTTGAGCGCATACGCCTCTGAGGATGAAGTTAAGATGTATGCACGAGCATGCATACTGCAGTTGATAGGAGGGTTGCTGATGCCGAACAAATCGCGCAACCTAGTTCACTGCATGTGGTTGCGACATCTTAGCGACTTTCGTCTGGTCGGATCATTCAGTTGGGGCTCGGCAGTTTTGGCTTTTCTGTACAGGAAGATGTGTGGAGCCACTGACTACTACATGCATAATGCTATCGGTGGATGTCTCCTGCTGCTGCAGTCTTGGGCATGGTATCGATTACCCTTTTTATGTCCCGTTGTGAAGAACCCATTCGTATTTCCACAACTTCTGAGGTAATTATAAAACTGATTTTGTATATTAATAATTTTATATAGCGTATAATAACTTTTTTTCCTTTGAATATGTGGTGTACTGATAGGAAAAATCATCAGGAGCTACCTGATGATTTAGAAAAAAAATTAGGGTGCTAATCGATCAGAAGGCTGGCATACATATATGAATTTTAATATTTAAAAATTGATTTTAGATTACAGTTATATAATTAGATTATTATTTTGATAAAAAATTATATAATATTTGTTTTAGTTTGAATGGGTGACATATTGTACTGATGATGTAAGGGTGGTAATCCCAACTGAGTTGAGGGGCCCATCTGATGTTTGGATGGCGATGGTCCATCTGATCTGTTATGCGACCGTCAAGTGGCACTCTACTGATCGCGTGCTCCTGCAGTTTGGTTGTTTTCAACCAATTTCGGAAGCACCTCGTAATATGGACGAGTTGCATAGCTTAGATAGACGCGGTAAGCCAGATACATATTGGCTAGTGAGGCATCATGAGTGGGTCGTGTTGTGGGAGGATCGACATCGGCGCCTTCCCCGTAAAGAGCCCATTTTTTATGACCTCTTGATGTTTGCTGACGGTTATTATGAGTGGTTCAAAAGTAATGGTAAACTGTTTATGCTTCCCGAGGATGCACGAGGGCAGACCTTTCCGCGACGTCGACAGAGATGTTTACCGACACATCACCATCGTTCCCCGACTCGTGGACGGAGAGCAGGTGCTTCCGGTTCATCCTCAGCTGCACCAGCAGGACCTTCACAGCAGCCACCGTAGCCATTTATGATGCCACAACCATATATGATGCCGCCGCCTTTCCATTACCAGATGCCGCCACCGATGCCTTTACCTGGTTTTATGACTCCTCCGCCACCACCGTCACAGATGACCCCTCCTGGAGGCTGTTATAGGTCTATGTTTGCAGATTCGACTTGGGGTTCATATGCTGTATATCTGGCAGGTTCAGCCTCATCACCCATGGTCGCAGCACAGACACCTCCTGTACAGTTTTCACACTCAGCGATGTATGGGTTTTATGAGTTTTCCCAGTTTTCGCAAGCCGGTGGGATAGTCAGTCATACACCTCCAGGGTCCTTATTCTATAAAGGTGCTTCATCGTCATCAGCTACTCATCAACCTAATGTACCTGCACAGGACGACGACGACGACGATATCGACAACGATGGTGATGATGATGACAACGAGGAGTCAGAACCAGTGATACGAAGAAATCCTCCTCGAGACCGACAGCCACCGCCCTGCGGAACACATTCGCGTCGCAGACATCGATAGATTTTTTTATTATATTTTTATTTACTTTATTTTGTTAAATTTGTTGGACTTTTTTTAATGTATTTCAGTTAATTTTGTTTATTACCATTTAATATCAGTTATTGTAATTTGGTTATCATTTACTATTTAATTCTTATTGTAAGTTTGTTGTATTTAAAATTATATTCAAATACCACATTGTTATTAGTTTGATAAAATTTAATGATTGTGTTTGTTTTTTTAATCTTCATCAGCGATTATCGAATGATATTAACTTGAAGTAAATGCAAATCAAAGTACAAGAATTATTATTTGATAAACAAATACATCATTTCCTCATCAATTGTTACTTGATGGCAACAGAAGTGGACATGTTTTTCTAGTGTGTCTTGGGTTTCTACAATGCCCACATCTTATGTCTTGTCTAGATCTTTCTCGAATATCCATATCGTAATGAATTCGATTGGATTTTGGACGACCACGCTCCCTCAATAAACTCATATTTGGTACAATCGAAAGCAAATCTTGAACCTCATCAGGGTCTTTGTCATTACCTATGGGGGAAACTCAAATTCGTATACCTTAAAAACTTCAGGTAGTAGGTATACGAGATCCACAAAATGGTTATAATCTTGACGTGTATGCGAGCAAGCTGCTATCACATGAGAACATGGATACTTCAGAGCTTGAAAAAACCCGCAGTCGCACATTCTGTCCCTTAGATTTACTCTTAACGACACAACTTCAATCCCTTGAAGAGGTCGCGACAACTCTATGACACGAAACATTTCATGCCTTCTAGAGAAGCTTGTTACAGACATTCTATTTGATGCAGTAATTTTTTCTGTAGATCTGCAACTAATCTAGGGTGATAAACATGATCGTCGAGCTTCACAAAAAGCGCCCCAAAACGAAAATATGTAGTATTTATCAAAGCCGCTACTGGTTAGTGACGTGCACCCTTTAAAGTTGAATTGATTGCCTCTGTCAAGTTGGTCGTCATGTGTCCATATCGATATCCACCATCATATGCATTCGCCTATATTTCTTTATCGATGAGGTTGATGTAATCATATTCTTCCTCGTTCTTCGCCCGCAAATCTTGATGCATTGATTAAAACGTTCGAGGAAGTAGTTCGTAACCTGATCAAAAAATTTATAACTTACTAACTTGCTTTCTTTGCAAAATTAAAACGATTGAAAGAAAACAAACTACATCAGTTTCACTTACACATGCGCATAATTAATTGACGCTCATAATTATTCTTGTACCTTCCATGATAGTTTGCAGCAATGTGTCGGAGACAATACCTATGTTGGACAAATGGTGGTTGCCACATTGGACCCAAAGACTCCATTGCTGCTTTGATCACAGCTCCGCGATCTGAAATGACACATATGTTTTCCATCGTGATAACATTTGCACGTAAATTTCGGATGAAAAAGCCCAAGAATATGTATCTTATCCTTCGACAAGAGCAAAAGCAAATGGAAGAATGTTGCGACTGTCATCTTGGACAACTG